AGTATGCAGAATGGCTTCAAGACCTGGCTCAGGCAGGCATCAGAGTTACCTGATAGAGGATCCAGGTATCTCAACCTACTGATGTGTCCTTTAGGACTTAAGTTGTTCAATCTTCCTCATCTATAAACTGGGAGAATAATGTGCCTTACCTGCTAGAATTTCAGTAAATATTATATACTGCAAAGTAAATAAAGCACCCAGCAAATGCCTGTTGCATAAAACATGCTTTATCCACATGAATTTAACCATTACCAGTGTTATTCACCATAAAGTTCCTTCACTCTAAACCCATACACTTTTCAGATTCTGCCAAGTGGTCTTTTAAAAACCGCTTGCCCAACTTGTTAGCAACAACTCTGAAAGAAGGAATTCTCACAATTATCTTCTATCCTGCATTCATAAAGCCCCAGGAAGGCATATAGTATTATACAAACATTAAATAATAATATGTTCTGCTCTGCTTACCAAATTAAATCAAGTTCTAAAGGCAGCACATGCAGAGTGAAAAGGCTGCTGATAAGAAGCAATCTGATGTTTAAATGTGTGTTTCTATTACATAAACTGCTATAGAATGATGTACCGATGGAAGAATGCAAGGAAAACTTGGAATGTAGATGAAATTTTAAGAAATACTTTCTTCTTATACATAAAAACATAGATTCTAATATTTACGCTCTGTATGAGTTTAGTCATGTAACTTAAATTCTCTGTGACTCACTATTTGCCGTGAGCAGGACATATTGATGACACTTCCCTCATTGGTTTGTGATTAAAAAATTAATTAATGAATAAAATATATAGAAGAGTGGCTTACACAGAGCAACTGTCTTATGTTAATTATAATTATTATTCCTTCTTCTTACAGTTTTCACAGGTATTCTATAACATAAATATAAATTGGCTATTTTACAGCATCATACCTCCCCTCCTACCAACTCTGTCAATAAAAAAAGGATGCAGCCAAAATGAAAGTGGGTATTGGAGTAATTACTGTGATGATATCTCATTTTCATAAATTCCCTTTTGGTGAGAATTGAAAGAAAAAAAATGGACTCTTCTAACTTACTGAGATAGCCATCTGTAAAATACTTGTGTTGACTCAGACCAAATTATTCATATTTTACAGACATTTCTGAAACAATTCTCTGTTTCCAAGCTTTCAACCTATAGCAAATAAAAGAAGATTGTTTTTAAATACTCCGTGTTTCAGGAGCTGAGCCAGGGACTTTACATGAGCTATTTTATTTAATATTTGCAAATCACTATAGCAATAGAAGTTTATTAACTTTCTATTGCTTTAACTAACTGCCACAAATGTAATGGCTTAAAACAATACAAATATATTTTCTTACAGCTCTGGACTTCAGAAGTCAAAAATCAGTTTCCAGACTGGAGGAAAATCAAGGTGTTGGCAGGCCTGCTTTCCTTCCAGAGGTCTCAGGGAAGATCTTGGGCTTCCCTTGTGGCTCAGCTGGTAAAGAATCTGCCTGCTGAGCAGGAGACCTGGGTTCGATCCCTGGGTTGGGAAGATCCCCTGGAGAAGGGCAAGGCTACCCACTCCAGTATTCTGGCCTGGAGAATTCCATGGACTGTATAGTCCAAGGGGTCGCAAAGAGTCAGACACGACTGAGTAAACTTCACTTTCACTTACTCACCTGTCTTTTCTAGCTTCTAGAGGTTGACTGGTAGCTTCAGTTTGTGGCCCCCTTCCTCTATCTTCAAGGCACATCACTCCTACTCTACTTCCATTTTTTATATCTTCTCTCCCTTACTCTGATCCTTTTGCCTCCCACTTATGTGGATAGCCCACTTGGATGATCCAGGATAATCTCCTTATCTCAAGATCTTTAATTTAATCACAGTAGCACAATGCCCTTTAACATCTAAATTAACCTGTCTCAGAAGCTGAAGATAGGACATAACATATTTGAAGGCAGACGATTGTTTTTCAGCTTACTACAGGTAGATAGTATTGTGCTCATTTTGCAGATGAAGAAAAGAGTAGTAATTGTTAACTCCATTAATACACAGAAAATTCAAAAGGGTTGAATAGTTTATTCAAATTCACAAAACCAAAAAGTGGGCACTGGCATACTAATGTAAGTCCTTTTGACTCTAATGCTGTTTCCACTACACAATTCTGCCCCCAAATGAGGAATAAAAAGATAAAAGGACTCCCTTCTTACAGGTAGGATGTTTTTTGTTTTCATTTTCTTTATGACTTCAAAATATTTACCAAATAAATATTGAATAGCTGCTTACATGTAAAACCCAATTTTAGGTGCTGGGGAAAAACAGGAATCAGACCAAGTCAGTAACTACTAGGTAATCTCATATCTTCCCATATGTTTGAATACTCATAATGTGGGTGTGTGCACTATATTTCAGTCATGTCCGACTTCTTGACAATTTATAACTTTTAAATCTATATGCATAGACTTGACCAAATTCAACTACCTATTTGATAGCTCCATTTTTATGTTCAATAAACCTTTTCAATTTGCCACATCTGGAACTGAACTGGCTTTCTCTACCTCAGGTAACAGCACTACCATATTTCCCTCCCTCACCACCCAGTAATCAGTAATCAAAATACCTTAATTTGTCTCAAAAAAGTATCTTAATTCCACTCACTTCTTATTTTCACCACTCCCAGACTTCTAACTTGTACCTTCATTTCAGTTCTTGCATTGCCTTAATCTAATCGTCATACATAAATTGGCACGATCTCTTTAGAGAATAAATTAGATTATATCATTTCCAGGGCAAAATACTTCAATATTCATGGCATTTATAATAAAATCCAAATTTTTCATGTTACTCAGTATTACCACATACCTTGCTATGTTTACATTTGTGTGCCTGTTGTCCTGGCATAACTAGTAATAGAGTCTCCTTTCACTCTTAAAATTGTTCATTTGGATGAAAAATTACATGGTCACCATATATATAAAGGGTTTGTTGTAATTTTTTCTTTGCCTAAGTTTATTCCAATAGCCAAAGTCTCCCTCAGGACTCAATGGGGTTTGCCCTTAAGTCTCTTCTGTGATTATTTTTCTTCAAAAACTAAATCAAATCAAAGTGTTTAATCCAATACCTAGCTGTCTTATTTGTTGAATATCTGTCCTACTACTAGACATTTCAGTATGTATAATGTGTGGTAGGTGTCCACACATATTTATTAAAAGATTAATGACTATATATATATATGCCATACAGTCATAGTTATATAAAAATGTGGTATAACATTTAAATGGTACATATGTGTTCAATATACCAATGACCAAACTAATAGAGGAGAAAAAAAAGTTACTTCTGTTTAGAGAGAAAATAAGGTTGACTTCACAAGGAGGGGGAGCCCAACCAGTGTTGGGATATAAAAGATCATATTATGTGAATCAAGATGCTCTGAGAAGAGATTTCTAAGCAGAAGGAATGTCATTTACAAAGGCAGGAAGGTTTAAAGCAGTGTGATTATTCAGGGAACTCAAAGTAGTTTCTATTATTAGAGAGTACGGTCTTGCATAAATGATATATTAATGCCATGAATCCCTAAGGACAAAACCTATATTTTGAAGAAGACTGCAGGAAATATAGAAAATAGTTATGAAATTCAAAACTTAGTTTTGTTTTCATTTATACGGTTAGGATGACTTGAGAATTTCTATCGCATATTTAGCTCACCTTATAAATTATAGAAGTTCTTAGATAAGTAAATCAGTTTTTGAAGAGTGATATTTCAAACTTCATTACCATAAAGAATCCTCTCAGTTGTGAGTTTGTCATATAATATTCACAAAATTGTAATACATGGTCCGTAAGGAAACTATATCGTGATTTATGGTACAGAAAACCAAAGTGGGCTTTTCCCTTGATTTGGGGGATTTGCATTTTAAGAGTTATCTTAAATTTCTGCTTTGGATGATGTATTTTTATTCATTCTTAGATTGTAAAAAGAAATAGACTAAAACTACTGGATTAACATTTTGTCATTTATATTATACAAATGCTAAAATGATCAGATCTGCAGAATTTATAGAACATCAGGTAATATTTTGAGGTAAACAAGAGTTGACACAGTGAATTGAAACTCATCTCAGACCTATTTATCTTGAAGAACATTTTCAAGAGATATTATTGGTATAGATAATCTTAAATGGTTTCTTTGAACATGAATATACATACCAGAGTTGCATGCTGGTGGACTGCAGGACATGAAAGCTTTGTTTAACTCCCAGAGTGCTTTAGAAGTTTGAGCCAAGATTTTCATTTAGATAAATCACATTGAAAAATCTAGAATTCTGGCCCCTTCCTAAATATTTTGAAGATCTGATAACTCTGGTGAGAAAAACTATAGTCCCAAGGGACTATATGAGTACATGTTTTCTAGTTCACCAACACCCATCTCCCTCCACCCTCCCAGGTAGAGATCCACACCATACCATACACACACACACACATATAAGTGTGTGTATATACATATATACATATATGCCTGAGAACTTGTTCTGGAACGAAAAAGCAAAAACAAAAAAAAGCAACAACAACAAAACCCACACAAAAAACAACTATTAAAGACCAATTGCAAATTATCAAAATGTCTAGGAAGATATTTAGAATTTGATCATTTGTAATTCTGAGAATTGAACATGCATGCTATCCTAATAAAATCTGCAAATGGAGCAATTCAAACTTTCAATCTTTTCTTCCTTGAATCCATTACTAAACAATACCCAAACACAAAAAAGTCCAACAAATCCAGTATAACAGTTTGTTTCCTCCTGACCAAGAAGTTATTTGTTCTGGCATCTGGTCAATATAACACAAACAGCACATACAATAGCACCAAATTATATAAATAGACTATGAGTTTGATCTGTAATTTGAATGTAAATATCTCCCTACCTTTATTATAGCAGATGTAATTCATTTAAGTAGATTGAAAATACCCGAACTGCAGTAGATTAGGAAGTATAAAGGCAGAAATGATGGGCACGTACCTTCGCTATCTGGACACACCAGTTAAGTAACAGCTGTGAGCCGATGTTATCCTTGTGCTCATGGACATAATCCAGCAGACAGCCATGGGGCATGAGCTGTGTCACCAGCTGAATGGTTGGGCTCAGACACACACCCAGTAATCGAACCAAGTGGGGATGGTCCATACTCGCCATGATTAGGGCTTCCTAAACAAAAAAAATGAACAACACCATTACTTCAACTCAAAGTTCTTTGCCATGACAGTGACTTGCACTGTACTGACGCTGTTGATAATGATTTTTAAAAGGTACTCTCATAAAATGGAATCAATTAAAAGTGAGAAAAGACATTATTGTAGCCATCATATTTCTAAAGTGATTTAATTCAAGTGAAAATAAATGGAAATTAGACTATATTTATTAGAATGGCAAATATTATATAATAACTGCATGCAAATTTCATAGTAGTATTTTCTCTTCTGCAATGTGAAAAATATTAGATTTTATTTACTGCCAAATTAAGTTGAATTCTAAATTATATTGTGGATTTTTAACCTTTAATCTTTGGTTCTAGAGTTCAATTATCTATACAATACAGTTATTTGCACAAGGTGGCTCAAAGTTATGAATTATTGTTGTTTAGTTGTTAAGTCCAGAGAAGGCAATGGCACCCCACTCCAGTACTCTTGCCTGGAAAATCCCATGGACGGAGAAGCCTGGTAGGCTGCAGTCCATGGGGTCGCGAAGAGTCGGACACGACTGAATAACTTCACTTTCACTTTTCACTTTCATGCATTGGAGAAGGAAATGGCAACCCACTCCAGTATCCTTGCCTGGAGAATCTAAGGGATGGTGGAGCCTGGTGGGCTGCCGTCTATGGGGTCGCGAAGAGTCGGACACGACTGAGCGACTTCACTTTTACTTTTCACTTTCATGCATTGGAGAAAGAAATGGCAACCCACACCAGTATCCTTGCCTGGAGAATCTAAGGGATGGTGGAGCCTGGTGGGCTGCTGTCTATGGGGTCGCATAGAGTCGGACTCGACTGAAGCGACTTGGCGGCAGCAGCAACAGCAGCAGCAGCAGCAGTTGTTGAGTCATGTCTGACTCTTTTGTGACTCCATGGACCATAGCCCACGGACCTCCGCTGTCCATGCGATTTCCCAGGCAAGAATGTTGAAGTGGGTTTTCATTTCCTTCTCCAGGGGATCTTCCTGACCCAGGGATGGAACCTGGGTCTCCTGCATTGGCAGGTACTGGCAGACAGATTTTTTAGCACGGAGTCATCTGGGAAGTCCCCAGAGTTACAAAAACAGCCATTCAAAATTAACTCATTCATTACTGATATGGATTCAGACATCATAAGGGTAATTTGTAAATTATAAATATCAATGTAAACAATTACAAATAATATGCCTCCCTATCTAACAATATGCCTACCATGAATTTATGCAGAAAAAAACATTTTAATAAGACATTTTACTCCATAACCTTTGATTTTACTCAAATATATGTCATTTTCAAAATTATAAATATCTTATAAATAGAATCATAAAATTTGAGAGCTAAGTGAGATTGTAAAAATTTGTCTATTCCAATTTTGTTATTTCATGAAGTGAGAAAACAGTTCTAACTTCTTTTTCATAATCATAAAAGCATTTTTGCTTAATGAAGATAAAGGGTGGACATATGACAGATATTTAGCCCATCCTAAAGTTAGCTTTCAATTAAAAGCTATTTTAAGTGTCTTTACTCCAATTTGAAACTGATACAACCTTATACATACACACACTCACAGAGTGGTTGATAACATATATGGCAATTTATTATCAATCAGTTTACCTATATGCAGGTATAAGAATGTTCATCATACTCTTTTTGAACGTTTTTTGTAGCTTTAAAATTTTTCAAATAACCAAGGATAAAAAGCTGTACTGAGCTTCTCTTTAAGACAGCATGGCAGACTGATACATGAGTTTACTTTCATTTTCCTCTTGATTCCACCATTTTAACAATAAATGAATCAATAAAAAGCCAGAAACCAACAATCACAAGAAGAGGCAATGGGGATGGAATACTAAAAGTAGAAAGTAGCTTATTAGTAGTAACTGACTTAGCAAACATAGAAAATCTGAAGCCTAACTTAGGAGGTGAGAAACTGAAAATAAATCCAATTTACACCAAGGGTGTACACACCACAGGCTCAGTAGTGTTACACCACAAACCACTGTACATAAATGGAGGAGGAGGGACTGACTTCATCAGGACTGTTTCAAGCCCATTTAGGAAGCACTTAGACCACAGAGCTCCTTCATCCTTGTGTGTGTTTGTTTTAGTCGCTCAGTTATGTCCAACTCTTTGTGACCCCAAAGATGTAGCCTGCCAACCTCTGTCCGTGGAATTCTCCAGACAAGAATACTGGAGTGGGTAGCCATTCCCTTTTCCAGGTGATATTCCTAACCCTTCATCCTTAGGAGAAGTTTAATCAAAGGGATTGTAAACTATGAATATTAGGTAATGGAAAGAGAAGTACTCTGGTAAAAATAAGGAAGCACTGTGGTAATCATGTAAATTTATATATGGTGAAAATCGAGGCCACCCTCTAGTTCCTTCTCCCAAATGGAGCTGTGACTTCAAAATTGTGAAAGTTTTGTTTAAACCTCAAATTCTATATCCAGCAAAATTTGAACCAAGTGAGTGAATATATGGACATGTCTGTTCTTAAAAAAGATTATCTCATATATTTCCTTTATCTGTTAGATGTGCTCATTTAATACAAAGTGGAGGGCACTTTAAAAAGCACACTTAATTGTGAAAGCAAGGAAATGACAGTAAAGGGATACTCAGAATCAAAGCTGTACAGGCACCTGACATAGTAGCCAGTTTAGACTGGGGTAGGATATCCTTCTCTAGAAAAGATGTAAGAAGATGGATGAACGGCTGAAGCAACTAAACAGGAGCACAGCCATGTAGAACTATTTGATTTTTATTAATATTATTTATTAATTTATTATAAATTATTTATAAATTTATTAATTTATTAATATTATCTTACAGTTATTTGAGAAGATAGCTTGAGAGGATTATTATCTCAAAAGCTATTCACTTGTAATCTCCATTACTCTTTAGTAGGGTTGAGTTCTGCAGAGTCTAAAGATTATTCATAATCATGGGTGAGCCTGATGGAGTATATGGATTTTACTGGATCCATCCAAGGTCTTATGTGAATTATAATGTTTTATTTTTTGAAGAAGGAAGAGTGGGGCACTATGAACTCGTGTGGAGAAAGGAGAGATAGGAAGCCAAACAGAAAAAATAAGCTGGTAAGGGGACTTCAGCGTCACTCAAAGTACTTTATTTTTGAGCCTTTGGGAATAGAAGCTGAAATTGTTTTTCAGCTGACCTCCAAGCAGATGAGGTCTTCCAATTCCTCCTTCCTCAGCAGCCACAAGGAACCAGACAAGTAAGAAAATGAGAGGGAGCACCACTGGTTCCTCTGCTTTCTTGCTGAGCCCACCACCAACATAACACCTCAAGAACTGGCACCCCAGGGACCACCGAGAAACACAAGGTCACAAAGGTCAGTGGTGTCCTCGGGTGATACCAGTCAATGATGCTGAGATAGGACCTCTCGGTGTCTCAGAGAAGAGAAGCTCCACGTAGGGACTGATCTGGTAAGAAAGGACAATGTAGATACCACTCGGTGACTGCAACTGGCAGACTAGTTTGTAAATTCATATGAGACATGCAACTCTTCCCAAACTATTTGGGAAGACGTCCACTGAAGTTGGGATTTCTACACAATCAGCAAAGCCAGAAATTATTGAGAGTTATTGCTACTAACATGGCTCTATTTGGGTCCATGAAGTGGAAACATTTTGGTTTTACTTCTTCTATATTTCAGTCAACATTTGAAACAAAGCAAACTGATGCAATTATAAGGAGAGTACAAATAGAAATGTTAGCCAAGTTATATTATCTATCATTTAATCTAGTATTTTATTAATTAAATAGTAATGAATGTTAATATTAAAAGTGTGAACCAGAGGTTCCTTCACTGAATTATGATATGCACACATATAAGTATACACATAGGCATCAACAAAAAAGCAAAACATAATTAAGTTGTCTAACTCAATCAAGTAACAAATTAGATATTTAATTAGGTATTAAATATTAGATATCAGATTAAATTAAACATATCCTAATTGTATTCTCTCTGTTTCTCTTCTGTGACTTGTCTTTCACGTCCTAGCATTTATCATTACAAACAGCTTAGGTTTATCATTTAAAGCATGGTTTTCCTAGCCCCACTCCCAGATAATCAGGTCTAGAAATGAATCAGGAATTTACATTTGTAGCAAGCTCCTGCAAGTAGTGAAGCTACTGCAGGAAATACAGAACTTTGAGAATCTCTGAAACATCTCCATCTATTGTATGTCTCTATCATTCACTGCAAAAGAAGTAACATGCAGCCACCCTTGTTTGATCCTTATTGTAACTCTAGGAAGCAGTCAAAGGAGGCAGCCATTCTCTGCTGTAACATAAGGAAGCCAAGGTTGAGCAGAATTACTGCCCTAGCTCATATGAGTAAGCAGAAGGATCAGAGTTAAGATTTAGGCTTTCTGATTCTTAGAACAGTGCTGTTTCCTAGGACGGTAAAAACACTGCAATTTTAACATTTCAGTTCCATCAGCACTTTGAACTGTAGATGCTTATCTTACTAACAAGAAGGCAGTGCCAAACACCTGACTTTAGCCATACCTGAATGAATTGGATCAAGTCATACTTCTGTCCTAAGGAGTAACTCAAGCAAAAATTTGCACTTGTAGATAAATCGCCATCACTTACAATATGCTTTCAGAAAAAGTCAAACAAAATATATTTTTCTGATTTCCTGTATTATTTGGTATAGGCCATTTCCTAAGATACAGAACATGGTGAAATTTAAGAAACAAGAAAGACTTTAAGATTAATTTGGCCTTTTTCAGGATGAAATATATAAACAATATTTTTCTTTTACAACTCAAGGAGGAATATTTCCATTCTAAATATGCATGTGAAAAGTTTGCAACAGAAGAGTGTAAAAAAGTCGCATGAAAGTTCTCTTTAAAAAAAAAATCTATTAGTAAGTCCTGGCAAAAAAGCTGGGGTTGTATTAAAGAAAATTGCTCATCACACTACAAAGAGTATTTGAAACCAAATTG